TCACTCGTTTGCGGTATTCGACGTTGCTAACGCGCATGGGACCATGAATCGTTTCAATAACTATTTTATCGAAGATTCCCAGGGCCGTCTGCTCGGATAACGACAGCGACCATGCTTCTGCACCATATACAATAGTAGGACGAAAAAGATGAGCGACTTGTAGAGTTTAGTTTGAGCTCGTCGAGAGAGGACTTTACTTTTCAACTGCCTACGCAGTACAGCTATTCTGCGTTCGATTTCAAGGCTCACATTATTATTGGTGTTAATGCTGGTCCCCAGATAGACGAAATTATCTACGGCCTCGAAATTCTGACTGTCAACATTGACTTGGAAGACAAGACGTAAATGCGGCGACAGGTTTTTCACTACCCATTCGCTTCGCTTCCTTGTCAAGCTTAGAGAAGGCACAACTAACAGCGCTAAATATTTCTGCAGTTGTACACTCTTGTAAAGTCTATCTATCACTGCAGCATCAAATTCAAGAATCACACTATAAAAATTTACCCTGTCTGAAGCCTGGTTTGTTATAGAACCGCTCGCAATGGGGAGGACCTCCGTTCCTGACGGAGCTTTTAGTGTTGCTTAACGTCAGTTTACACAACCGTGCGGGGATTCCTCTCAATGCTGTCGAAGGGGTACTTTAAAATCGCCTCTTTACACGGGCCTTTACTAAAATTTTGTGCATGGTGAATATCTGATCAATGCTTGATTAACCAGGTCTAAAGCAACACTGATAACGTCTAATAGAATTCTTAACGGTGAGCTTTAGTTTTTCACACAATACGCTCCACAGGACTTTAAATGCGATATTAAGTAGGCTAGTCCCAAGAGCATGCTTCGTCCTGTCTCTCGGCAAGAGTGATTCTACTTTGGATATCAAGGTTGACACTGCTGTTGCTGGGTCCAAGATAGATAAAATTGTTTACGACTTCAAAGTTATAACTGTCAACAGTGACGTGAAAACGAAGACGTGGCTGCGATGACTATTTATTTGATGACAGCGGATATATCGTTTTGTACTCATTTACTACCCAGTCGTCTCACTTCTGTGTTGAATATGGAGAGAGCAATAACGGCACCATAAACAACTTCAGAGTTGTATTCGAAATTTCCCTCTTTCGTTAAAGATATATTGAGAAAGCAAATTTTTGCTGAAGATCTTTTAAGAAGATCTGTAAGTATGTAGAATTGTATAGTACGAATATTGTATGTATTCACGACCAATCGTGGGAAGGAATTTAACGAAATAAAAGGAAACTCCACAATAACAACAATAATAATTCCCAGAAAATTTTTAAAATTTAAATTAGGCTCAAATGAAAAAAATTGGCTTCCAAACTTCCAAAAAAAGCACAGAAAAAAAATTATAAATTGAAATCTTTTTGAAAAAGAATTTATTAATGAAGAAAATTTAAATTTAAAGTAAAATTAAATAAAAACGGCATAAATCAATTTATTAAACAAAAATAAAAAAATAGCGATAATAAATCGGCAGACTTAGAAAACTAAAAGGATTATAAAAAGAAAAAAAAAGCAATTAAAATTGACAAGCATCAATTATATGTAGTTACTCTGCACAGAATTCAAAAAAAAAAAAAAAAAAAAAAAAAAAAAAAAAAAAAAAAAAAAAAAACTATCACTAGCATTCACTCGAAGCGATTAGCTGTACTTTAGGTGCAAACAAAAAAAAAGAATAATAAATATGAAAATAAATTGAAAGAGCTCAAAAGGCTACAAGGATATAAGAGGAAAAGAAATAAATAAATAAAAAAAAAAATAAAAAAACAAAATGCTATAAGTTTAATAAATAAATAAATCTTTTAGACAAGTAAAGGCTAAGCACAAATGTATGAATAGAGAAGTAAGAAAAAAGCAGCTTGTGACTATTACAAAAACAAAATCAATAACGGATAACAACAATTTTAACAATTTTGATTAAAAATAAAGGACATAAAAAAAAAACAATAATAAAGTATTTCAATATGTTGTGGACATGGATCTGCGACAATGCTCCGAGATATGTCGCTCTCTCTCTCTCTCTCTCTCTCTGAATATCTACTTACGAGGGAATTAACGAAAGTGCGGCAAGTTGACCGGAAAAAAAATCCTATTGTATTTATTCGTAATCTATGCTCTTATTAATCTTCTCTGCATACTCGCCATTGATTTCAATGCGTTTTTTAAGCCCATAATAGATCCACTTCTGAAAACAGTTTTCAAAATCTTGCTTTTTAAGCTTTTCATGTTCATTATTAACCGCATTAATTATCTAATCGTTGCTATTAAAGACTTTTCCTTTTAATTTTTTTTTTATTAATTTTTGAAAATAACCAGAAATTACAAGGTGCTATATCCGGGGATCGCAATAAAATTACACGTTATTTCAGCAATTTGGGATGGCGAATTTTCGTGATGTGAAAAGTAGCGCCGCAAGTCCTTTTTCTTCCTGTTTTCCAACAAATTTTTGAAAACTTTTGGTACCATTTTGCTCTTATCGTCTGACCCTTTTCGAGTGGAATAGCAGCTGCGGGCTTAGATCCGGTGTAGTAAATTGACATCTTTACTTTTGCTCCATATGTTGGTTGTTGAGATTTTAGGGGTTTGTTTACTCCTGCTGCTGTTTGGTTTCTAGATCGTACTTAAAGAACCAAGATTCGTCACTAGTAAAGACTTCACTAAAGTTGCTAGAGTGACCATTTTCAGATTTGTTTCGGAAATATTGAGCAAAATGCGGTGGAACATCTTTGTGGGTACCATTTAAAATTTGTGGTACCCATCGAGCAGATTGATTCGTGTATCCCAGATGATTACTATGTAGCCTTGGCATTGAAGCTCAATTCTTTAGCAATCATTACTTTTATCATTCGTAGGTCTTCGTCAATTTTGGACTCCACCTGCGCTACAGTGACGTCATCAGTAAAATATTTTAATCAACTTTCTCGTGGCTAGTCCTCTGTGAAAAAATGTCCTTTCCGGAATCTTCGGAACCCCTTAGAAAAAGTCTCTAAAGACGGTGCAATCGTTCCATATGCAACTGAAACAAGAAGTGAATCACATGACATATTTCTGTTTACGTTGGTGGTGGAATTTCGTCTGACCTATACTCAGCTATGTTGCGTTTACTCGTCTCCATCTTAGCCGATCGCCCTAGAATTTGATAGGAAGACTAATAAAGTAATTGGAAAGGATTTGGTATTTTTAAATTTAACAAAAACAACTGAAAGTCACCAACTGACCGAACTTTTGTTAATCACCTCGTAATAGATAAAATTCTCATGTCATGTGTTCGTCGAAACGGCTGGGCTGACTTTTGAGAAGGCTTTCGTTGTAGCCGATCTATTTGAAAAGTCTTATTTATAATTTGATTTGCTTGAAACTCGGTATATAGGTGGCTTTTTGCTTAGATTGGCGGCAATACTAATTTTTTATCCAGCCAGTGTACCAGGGTCCGATCTCCTCGAGCAAAATCTTATTTACATTTGAAATTAATATATAAATATTTAGAATTATTTTACGGAAGTAGAACAGGGACCACTGAGCAGATTTCCATTCCATAACCTGATAGAGGTGACGTCATAAGTTGACTTAAGCATTAACGGGATCCGTTGGACTATCAGCATTATATTATCACGCTGGAGTTAATACTAAAGGCATGGAGTTGAAACGAGACGAAGTTCCCCATTGAAATATAAAATATATATAATTCCTCCTTCAATTTGTGTTGAATTGCAACCTATTTATACTTAACCACCTTCGAATGGGTAGTGAACTTTTATGAAGAAATTTTTCTTTCAGAAATATACTTGGAGGAGGGCTTAACATTCCCTGCCGAAGGGCGACTGCAAGGATAAAAATTAGTTTTCTACAATTTTGGTTATTGGTTAGGACAGCACTAGAATTTATTGCTTTGCATCCCGAAAAATAGATATGATGATTGAAAACGCCATATTAAAAATAATATTACTACCAGATGTGGCTACTTACCAGCTTAGAACTCATCATTTTGTGGGGGAATAAAAAACGTTCCATATTCCAGAGAACTGAAACAACCAAATCTCAATTCAAAAACTGAAATATGGTCAACAGTCAAAATGGAAGGTTTTGACTCAGCATCGTTGGATCGAAATAAAAGCACGTCATCGAAACAATTCCTCAAAATTCTTTAAAATCCGCATACAGAAAGCTTCTGTTACAGAGATTAGAAAAATTCTTAAAAACTGTCGCCCTCCAGAGACTGGAAAAAGGTCTTGGAAAAAGCTTTTAAAAGTAGAACTCAATGAAATAATTAATGCCCCTAAGCTTAGAAATACGAACTTAAACCGGATATAGAATCTCGCTTAAAATGTTCGGTTTACCATTATTGCGCCTTGCTGATTTGGATAGAGATAAGTTCATATACATTCATTAAGAGCTTGACGAAATAAGCCCCCTCTCCTCTTCCAATAAAGCCAGTTTCACTCCGCTGTTGATCAATAACGCCATCCCAGATATTAATATCAATTAAAAACAATACAAAAAAGTTAGAAAAATATAAATAAAAAAAAAAAAAATTATAAAAAATAAGGAAAAAGATGCACTCAGTCTCAATCCTAAGAACCGAATACCCTTCAATTCGTTAGAATGATCGAGACTGATTATTCAAATCTCCAAGAATCTGGCAACCATTAACTGACTCCTCATATGCTGTACGAGAAAGAACCATGAACACAAGGGAAAGACGACCTTCTACCTCCAGTAAAGAGCCGAAATACTATAAATCACCTTCTTGAAACGTGGAAACGTGGACCACTGCATTACGGACGGAACTGTGACATGCTCTGAATTTATGACTGTATCTCACTTTAATTTTCAAATTCTCTTTTCAGATCCCTTTTTACACTCACCTGCAACCCCATGCCACCGCTAATCTGAGCCGGGCTTTGGCTCTAAATTATATTTGCTCTATAAAACTCTAAATAAAATTATAAAACTAATATTCGAATTAGTAAAAATTCGTGTTTTTATTACATATATAACAAAGAAAATCTTAATATTTAACACATTTTATTTTCCATTGATTTTTTCTCCACTCTCCACTTCATCTAACACGCGCCTCTAATTGTATCAACGGATATTCGACCAGTTTTAGTGAAATCGCGCCCTTACATTTCAATCGATCTAATGTTGCATCGGTTTTCAAACGATATTGATGGAATATCTTCGCCACGAAGACCTTCATCAACATGATCGCATAACGATAGCCGATGCACATGCGCAGACCCTTCGTGAATGGTATGTAAGCTAGAGGATGTCGTGATGGCGCAGACGGTCCGAAATGTGCTTCCGGATTGAACTGTTTCGCATTTTCACCCCAAAAACGTTCATCACGTTGCATGTTATAAATATCGATGGCGATTTGTGTGCCACGTGGTATGAGTACGCCATTACGTAGGTGGAAATCATTGGAGGCGCTGCGTAAAACAAATGGCACAGGTGCAAAGAGACGCATCGCCTCTTTTATGATCATTTCGGTGTAATGCATTCTCTCCAATTGTTCGTAGTTGATTTCAGGTGGTGTTTTTTCGGGGAAAAGTTTACTGAGTTCGTCGTAGAGTTTCTCTTGGTATTCGGGATGCATGGCTAGGCACAAGCATACGATGTACAAGCCAGTTGAAGTAGTCTCAAAACTCTAGAATTCAGAAAGCGTGTGGTGTGAATATTGCGTGTAATACATGTTTGTTTTTTAGGTTATCAATCACTTCGACCAAAGCAGGTTACTACACTGTGGAGACCTTTAAGTCCCTCTACAAAACACTATCCAAATCGTATGTATGAAAACGAATTGCATTTGTTCCACTATAAATTGAGAATGGCTAGACCGAATTGGCTAATTTTGATCTTAAAATATTTGTTGAAGTTCGGCGAAGATTTAAACAGTGGATCAGGGAACGTCTTATTTGAGAAATCGTGTTTATTGTTCGATTCGACTTGAAGTATGGTACATAAGTCGACTTTTCCTCCGTTTATCATGAAGATGAAATGTAACAGGATTGATTTGCGTCTATTTTAGTCTTCTGTTGGAAGAATTATGCCTGTTCCGTCGGTAATGCTTTAGCTAGGGCCTGTCACCGTGGTGATTTGTATGTGCTTTGAAATGGTTTAGGTAAGGCTAGTTCGGGCTAGGGTAGACGCAGATGGCGAAATTTATCATTCAAAAATACGCGTCACAACTCTACGTCTACGAAAACGATACTCTTTAATGCTCAATAGCTTATTAGAATAGTAAATGGTGTAAGCACCTACGGCGCTTCGAGCAATGACACCCCGAAAAAGTGTTCAGAAGATTTTACCTTGTGGTTAATACTGCGTAAAGCTATTCAGGAGACCATGGTTCGAGTTCTAGTCCGACCAACTTTCAACATTAAAGAAATGCGCTCGCTAGGTCGCAGTAGGGAATATTAATTCCTCCGAATGAATTTCAGACTTAAAAATAAAAGCTCATCTTAGAAATCCATTGGCCGTTCAGAGGCAGCTTAAAGTACACTTTTTGTTTTTGCCTTCATTTGTTGCCAAACCATCAATACTGCCAATGGAACGGGGAGTTAGGCTGAAAGTCGCTTCAAAGATCGTAAATGGGAAAGAGCGGTCTGCACCTGATAAGCGAGCCTCTCAGTTTCGCAATCTCATCGGTTTCGCAATTCTCGGCAATTCCGCTGTAACCAAAGCCCAATGCAGTATTTTCGAAGAATGACTTGAAGCAAATGAGAACGAAACCAATTGTACTTTTTTGATTGTTGGGCTAGATTCTAGACTTCTAAGTCGTAAAGACGAGTTCTTGATTGCTGTCGCTATTCCTTAAGAAAAGATTCTCTGGAAGTCCAAGTTCAGAACATACAAGATTACATAGATTTGTGATATGCGCTGTTATAGCCGCACCCGAAATTCTAATAGATTCCTTTTCTGGCGCCGTCGACATTTAGAAAAAAATACAGTAAAATATAATTATTTGAAATTATGAGCCTGAGGTTACGGTGCTAGCACTTTCGGCCCAGCACAACATTTTAAACACCCTTCGCTTTAAACAATCAGCTTAGGGAGAGCGTTTTGCCTTGAGAGACCCCGACTTTAACGACGGATTAGAGAAATGGAATGCTAAAAGGCATCATATTCTAGGCCGTGGTATGGAGCATAAATCGGCGAGCGAAGATTAGCCACCAGCTCAACTATGACAACCAAAGTAAGGCATAACAAAGTCTCACTGGCTTTCCGTCACTTAAAATTATTAACCATGTCTTATGAAATCCTCAAAAGTCCTAACCTATAGCTGCATCAATTTCATTTTTGCGAAAAGGTTCTCACAGTGGAACTCTTTTGAAATCAAAATGTATTGAAATGGAATTTTAGTATACCTACCGCCGCTATGATGACGTTCGCCTCGGCGCGCACATCCTCCCATGTGAATTGACCTTGTTCGACATGCGCACGAACTTGCTCCACAAATATAGCTTTCGACTTCCGTAGCGTCGCTGAAGCATCCGCATCCGTTGCTGCATTTACACTCGCACACACTTTTCCATTCACTTGTGCACTATCGGTCCCAGAGCAATTTTCACTTTCATTTCCATTCAACGTTGAGTGCCGTCCTAGTTGTACTTGTTCTTGCTGTTGCTGCAGCTGTTGTTGGTTTGTCGTGATGTTTGCAACAGATTTATTATTTTTTCGTTGCAGCAACTAGGGGCGGTGAGCAACACAGACGTACATACGAGTATATGTATGTATATGAATATGAAAAGAGAAGCGGAAAAATGGCATTAAAAGAAATTAGCCGCAAGCGTCTGAGGAAAAATCACTTGAATGGCTGATGTGATGAGCAGACGGTAGACGAATTTTGGTGGTGGAATGAGGCTGGATAGTTTCTAAGCATATGGATGTATGAATTTACTCATGTATATATATATATATATATATCTACACACTACAACACTTACACCATCAATGAAGTTGAAGAGCACCCGGACGATCTGCTCCTGCCGCACATACAGCGAGGAGCAGCGGAAGAGCACGCTCGGATATAGCCACGGCGACAGCATACGTCGCACACACGCTTCGGTGAGGCTATATGGTAAATGAAAGGATGCGATGAAAGAGATATAAAATTAAAGAAATCTTTTTGTGATATGTAGGGGCGGGGGGCTGAGTGGGAATGTGAGTCTGTAGGGTTGTCTACGGCATTGAGTGCATTTAATGCAGACAAAAGCGAAACGTTTAAAAAGGCGTAGCAAGCAAAACTGACAAATGAATTGAAAGAGAATGAAACAATTGAGTCTCAGTGCTGACGGTTTGGCATAATGCAATGTGGAAAATAATAGAGTCATTGAGTGGAGACGGAATGTGAAAAGGTACTTTGTTATTTAAGGTGCTTAATTTGTATGAAGAATGTAATAAAATTCACTAAATACTTGTACGAGTACTCTTCCACTGTGCAGGGCAGCACTTATGAGCTTGCAAGTGAATGTTAATGAAACCTTAAGGAAAACCCCTCACGAAACGAAATCTCTCGTCCTGAGAATACTGAAAGTCCCAATAGTCAGTTAGTTCCGAGTCTGCAAATACTTATTTGATCTCCGCAAAACAATGGTAGTCCTCTTTTTGCAGAACTTAATAGTTATTTACAGCCGCACTTAGGACGTGGCGGAACACGGGCCGTGATGCAGTGATATACGCCAACGACATTGCCCTCACAGCAGCTGGAAAATCCCTTCAGCGAACTGCTTCAAAATATCGTTCATACAGTAAGTAGCAGGCGCAGTGAGGGCGGTCTCAACTTAAACCATTCAAATGCCGAACTTGTACTCTCCACTCAAATACCTAGGCATGGGCTTAGATAGCAAACTCATATGGAACCGAAACACGCGTACAAGGCGACGGGTATTAAGACCAGATATTGTGTAGTCGTTTTGCAAAGCTGTATAAGATCCATATTACACTACGGAGTTACTACTGGTGGCCAGCACTAGACAAGACTACTTATGGAGTCAAGATAGAAAAAGTTCAGCGGACGGTCTCTGCACTCATTACAAAGGTGCGTCCCTCAACTCTTACGAAAGCCCACGAAATTCTGCTTAATCTGCTCCCGGCAGATCTCTGAAATGCAATCATCTTAAGGGTGGTAATAAAATGCAGTGTAATCTTAAGCATACTCTATACTGCATGCGAAACGTCTGTGGCTTGGGTCATACGGGCATCCCAGGGAACTGCACGGTGGAAGATTTGGCCAGAAAAGAAATAGTCATAGCCACAGTAAAGTCTGGACATGACGTGAAATGCCTACTTTCCTCGTCAAAGTAGCTGTTAAGACTAGCCTTCACCAGAAGGACTACTAGCAGTTGGTAGAGTGAAATCATGCGCAATTTGATCAAACAATTCTGTCCATTGATCGATGTGAACACAACTAAGTCTTTACTCCTTCTAAACAGGATCTCCATAAGCGCTGTAATTACCGGACACTGTCTAAAGGGAGGACTCATGGTGGAAGGATGAATTGCTTCTCAAACGAATTTTACTGCAGCTGCAGGGACACATATGAGGATGACACTGCTCAGTCCTTCAATTGCCTTGCGAAGTTTTCTCTGTAGTTATTATTAAGCTCCTGAACTTCTATCTGGAAAAGTGAGAGAAACCTTCTATACAGGATCAATACAGGTATCACAACAGGTCAGTGGGGGTGAGTGCGCTTGATCATCACAACTTCATGATTTTTTCTGAAATCTTGCCCATAGTCTACCCGTACTTTCAAAGAGAGTTTTGGCATAAACGATAGAAATGAAAAAAAAAAAAATAAAAATTGTCATGTCATTCTACTCTTTCGTTAAGAGATGTCTTCAAAAGCCTTGAATTGCAACGTAACTCGTCCGGAGACACAGATTTTGCTATTCAACTTTGTAGAAGTAGAAAGGTCCGACTTTACCTTAATTTGTGGGTTCCTTGCAAAGGTAAGAGTATATAAAATGGAGAAAGATTGCTACTTACTCTTTATATGCCTCGAAGATATGTGCAGAAGCTTCGTTCTCAAAATTCATTCGCTTTCCCATTGTGGTCTCTATAAATAAAAGTAGAAAAGAGTTAAGTTCCGTTAAAGGCAATGATAGATATCCGGCTGATTCAGTTATAACACCAAGCCGTTACTGGATTCTTACGCTTACGATTAGTGGTCGTGGTTTTCTTCAGATTTTAAGGAATTCCATGGAATTGTGGGCAAAGAAAAAACCATTTCTTTTAGTTTTCCCCCCCGGAAAAAACAACGGAAAATTATATACCTATATAATTGGCCCTTAGTAACCGCTGCGAACGATTTCGAGCTTGGAATATTAGTCCGGAAGATTTTTGATTTGACTACGATTGCTGTTTCCATAAGTTTGTGGCGCTTGGTGGAGGAAGACACGCCTTCTGGAGACATCTTTAGCTTTAATCTGAAGCGTTCTATCATTTGGGGGTGGCAACCACATTAGATTTTGCAAAAGCTTTACTGATGAGATCCATTAAGAGAAAGCTCGAACATTGATTGGATTATCAGCATCATTTCAGATTTAAGGGGATTAAAAAGTAAGGGATGATTTGTTTTCACAACTCGACAACAGAGAAAGACGATGTGACTAAAGATACTTTACGCACCAAGAGGCGCTCTCCAGTCGAAGTGTCTAAACCGTGTTTGGCAATTTTAGTGACAGTAAGAAGAAATAAGGTAACTTTCTTCACGAAAAAATTAGCCCACAATGGGCTGAGATTGATCGACTGCGCCGAGGCGCAAAATATGATCGTATGCAGCAGTAAATTTGAGTAAAATGGATGTATACTGTTCGAACCAAAATCGAGCATGATAAAAAATATGTTTTTATTTTCCTCTATGTGTACGCGCCCCGATTACATCACCTCGGACTACTGTCTTGGCGTGCTGAAGACACCCAACCGCCTCTATGTGGCAAAAACAGTGATCAACAGAAATAAAGGAAGGTTCGATGAATAGGAGCAGCACATAGCCAAACAGTTATTTACTCAACAGGCACTCTTGCTCTCTGAAACAATATAAGTAAGGTGATATGATGCCAAATCCAACAAAAACCTGCGAGAGAGGGTTCTATCATATCATCTTAACGTCCCTCCGACAGCACGACGGCGAGCTACTTCTACGTCTGAGCTTGATATCTGTGCAAAGCTTGTAAGGCTACACAAGCCGATATTCTAGACAACAATACAATCGTCATTAGGACCGAGAAGAGACACTTCGGGCTCTCCGGATTCAAATGTGCTGTCTCTTTTGACTGACTTTATTAATTAAAAAAATAAAAGGAGAACGTATCATCTTTTTGAATAAGGTATCAGGTGTACAACTTTGCTTCCGCCGTTTTTTTTCAAAATTATAGTTCAAAGTATTGTCCTTCGATAGCGACAACTTTTTCCCATCTTTCCGGCAAATTCGGATCCCGGATCGAAAAAAAAGAGTCCTCTCTTTTGACGCTATCCATGAAGCAATCCATTTTTCCAATTCTTCGAAGGATTGAAAATGTTGATCTGCCAGGCCGTGTGCCAACGAACGGAATAGGTTGAAGTCAGAAGGGGCGACATCTGGGGAATACGACGGGTGGGGCAAGACTTCCCATTTCAGCGTTTCCAGGTACTTTTTGACCATTTTTGCGATGTGAGGCCGAACATTGTCATGTTGGAGGATGATTTTGCCATGTCCCTCTTGATATTGTGGCCGCTTTTCTTTTAGCGCGCGACTAAGGCGCATCAGTTGCGTTCGGTAGCGATCACCTGTGATGGTTTCATGTGGTTTTAAGAGCTCGTAGTAAATCACACCGAGTTGATCCCACCAAATACAAATCATAACCACCATTTTTGTCTTCGACATCGAAATCACCATTTTTAAAACGTTAAAACCACTCCCGACACGTTCTTTCACTCAGAGCAGCATCACCGTAAGTTTCTTAGAGTATTCGATGCGCTTCAGCTGCATTTTTTCGAATTGTAACGGAATAGTAAAACTTCCCGCAAATGGCGAGAATTAGGCACATAAACGGACATTTTCGAGTGTGAATAATACGAAAACAAGAACAACTGTCACAGCCTCAGCCGGTACAGCCACCTATCGGAAAACGGCGGAAGCAAAGATGTACACCTGATACATGGTTAAGGAAGCAATTGTAATATATTAGAAATTGAATGAGGTTAAGACGAAATGTCCGAATAATTCTCATGACATCAAAAAGGAATACTCTTAACGCATTCACGCATTCACATACAGTAAATAGTCAGGTGAACGTAGCTTATATCAAGGGATATCCGGGCTCGAAGTCTACCCAAGGCAACTTAAAAAAATTATAGAACAATTCATATGAGGTTATTTCTAGCATGAAATAAAAATCATCAGGAAAAACTATAGGAACCACAAAACGAAGAAAGAACTCGGACAATTATTCAGATTTATGTCCCCTTTGTAGCCGGGTAGAACGAAGAGTGGGGAGAGCTACTTTAAAGAGCTCTTGCTCATAATTACAATAATACTTACGACAAGCCGTCTCTAAAACGCTACGTTTCAACATCTCGTAGATATTAAATTTTTCGCCACTTTTCGCCAAATCCGCACATTTGCCCAGCATCAGATTAGCTTCTACATTGAAAATAGGCAGGAAGTTGTTAATATTTTGACGACTAAAAGCCGGATTGATGAGGCGGCGATGCTTATTCCAGCGGGGTGCTGAAATGACATGTAGGATAATGACAAAGAATATCTGTTTACAACTAATATATGTATGCACATACATACGATACATATGTATGTACGTGAATGCTTAAATGTATGTGTAAATATATTAAGGGGCATGACTTTGACACATTTTCAGGCTGACCCAAATCAATTTCGCAAATAATAGGCTAAATGACCGATGTATATATGTATGTATCTATATAGATATGTAAGTAAATACATATATTTGAATGTGTTTCTATGAAGTTTGATTGGACAGTTTGAACCCACTGCCAAATGGCAAAGACTAAGTGTTGTTTAACGACCCCCGCCAACCAACCAACCAACCATCAGTTCAACTACTTACATACATACATATATTTATTTAGTTATGTGCACTGTGCATTGTGTAAATGTTGATATAAATTTCAGCTGTTATTTTTTTTTGTTTTTTTTTTTGTTTTTGCTATTTTTTGTTTTTGAACTACTCACAGCTGGATGTGAAGAGTCCATCGCCAATTCCTTCCGCCACAAAGCTATAGAGTTCGCCTTTGTTTGTGCAGTGCGGTGAATTGAAAACCGTGTCCACTGTGTCCGGGTCATTAACGTAAAGGAAACAACTTGTGCCCATCCATGAAATAAAGGGTGTGGCATATTCCTTAGCTGTACTCTCCAAGTATTGCATGAATGCTGCAAATGGGTGTAGAAAAGTTGAAATAAAAAAGTCATTCATATTGTATATATGTATGTATGTATGTATAGATATGTGTTTTAGTTGAAAATCCAGTGAACGGAAATGATGCAAATAAACTCTTGGATTTCATCTTATAATAAGTTTATCTTTTTTCTCTTCGAGTTAACAACATAAGTGGAGGGTAAAAGAAAAATTCGGAAGAAAATCTGACATGGAGATTGATTGTGGCAACGTTCATCTCATTCATTTAGTGGTAAAGATTTTAATATGATATTTGGGTTGAAATGAAGAAGAGCATAGGAGGTGTGATAATTAAGTGATGAGACAGATACCATAAAAACCGTATTTTCCAAAATTATGCTACAACTCTGCAATCCCCTTCAAAGTAGGTCCCTTGAGCAACTATACAACGATTCCTCCGCGTTGCCCATGCTTCGTAACATTTCTGGAACTCTTCGACTGGCGGCCGCGCGAGTACTCTCGTCACAGCTGCCTGTATGTCCTCAATCGACTCGCAATGGGTTTCTTTGACTAGGGAACAAAAAGATGTCCCAGGGTGACATATCGGGCGAATGAGGCGGTTGTTGCAACATGGCGATCCCTTTAGAGGCGAAGTACTGCGACACGCTGAAGGCGGTGTGGCACGGCCCGTTGTCGTGATGAAGTATCCAGTTACGAGCGATGTCTGGGCGTACCCTGTTGGCTCGTTTTCGCAATCTTTCGAAGATTCGAACTGTTAAACATCGAGTTTCATGGATTAGAGCGTTCCGCACCTCCTTTTGGACGCTCTCAAGCCCCTCTTTAAACCCTTTATGCCTGGGCACGACTAAGGGCATTACCACCATGCACCTTTACAATTTTAACGTACATTTCCGAAGCTGTTGCGCCAAATTTGGCGCAAAATTTTATAGCTACGCGTTGCTCTAGCTTTCGTTTTCCATTTTCATGACGAGCACCGCGAACACACGTCTACTCAACACGACACAGCAGGCGAACTAAACAAGCTAGAGCGATGGCAAATATATTAATGGGGAGGAGAAGGATGCCGGGAGAAGGGTTACCACAATCGCGGCAATATAAGTCAGTCTCATTACTTAATTGTCACACCTCGTATGCTAAAGATACTCACACCTTGCGGTTTAAATGTGAAAGTTTATAATAGAAGACTCGATGAAATTCATAGAGGAGTTCATTAGACCCTTCACTACAAAGGAACTATACAATCGACCTTATTCTTCCATATCAGCTTGATATTTGAAAAACACTCTGGGTAAAGAGGGCAAGAACACCGACGATATTTTATGAAATTTGTGTAAGCGTGTTCTTTCCGACGTATGGTTTTAAATAAGGTAACACTTTCTTTGGAGTTGGTCTTTTTGACTTGATTCACTGAAGTCCTTATCGACGATCAGCAAGCAGTTTAGAAAAGCGGCCGCTACTGATAGTGTACCCGAAGGTCGTAGAGGTCGATTCGGCTCCGCTCGCAACTACTCGGACTGAACCATGAAACGCCTTGGTACACTCTACGTCGAGATCTTAAATTGAAAGCAGACAAAATACCGGTTGTGCAGGAACTGAAGCGGCTCGATCTTCCAAAGCGACATCGCTCCATTCTATGTGCTCTTGAAAAGTTCCAAGAAGAACCGTCACTTTCGAGCCATATTTTGAGGCCCATTTCTGGCTCAATCCATATGTAAATAAGCCAAATTTGCCGAATTTGGGACGAAGAGCAACCTGAAGAGATTCAAGGGCTACCATTTCAACCGGAAAAACAACGGTTTGGTGTGGTTTGTAAACCGGTAGAATCTTCGCTCCATATTTCTTTAAAATTGATACAGTCCATAACAACCATTATCGTGCCTTGGTAACCGACTATTAGATGCCTGAAAAAGAAGCTCGTGATCTCGGCGACATTTTTTGTTTAACAAGAAGGCGCCACTTTCCACGTATACCATCCATCAATGCTCAGTAAGAGTAAGGTGAGCAGATAATTTCACGTTTTGGGCTAGTCGCTTGGCCACTGAGATCGTGTGGTATCCTTGGACTTTTTCCTGTGGGGATATGTAAGGTCTAAAGTCTATGCGGACAATCCCGCTTCGATTTAGACCTTGGAGCAAAACATCACGCGTGTCATTCACCAGTGAGTAGTCGAACTGCTCGAACGACTCATCAAAAATTGGACTCAACGGAGATGAACCCTCTGAGACTTAGCCGCGGCCAACATTTGAAAGAGATAATAATCAAAAAATAAATGAAAGAATGACAAACAAATAGTCATAATTATATGTACAATAAGTTTTCAATTTCACACAATTTTTAAGATTTTAACGGCATGAAAATTGATGTTGTAGCGAGGGAACTAATAAAAAATATTTTCTCTTGTTGTGTTGTAAAATTTTTAATGCTTTTTTGTGGGTTCATTTCATATATTTATATGTATTTTTTCACTTTTTTTATTTTATTATTTTTTTTTTTTATTTTTTTGTCATGGTGTTGGTAGAAACCACTTTACTTACTATCCGGACGCATCATTTCCAATCCCTTTCCAAGGAACGGCCAACCCCAAGGGCCGGACAATTGCCATGCGACGCGATAAAAACGTCTACGTGACCACAGAAACTCAAGCCAAAACAAAAACAGCCAAGTTGACAAGACATAGGCTACGCCATAAAACATTGTTTGAATTGAAATTAGCATGATTTTGTGTGTTTGTGTGAGTGTGTGTTTATGTTTGTGTGTGTGTGTATCGATTAGTCGATTAGTGCGTCTCAGTGACTCCAATGGCGATGTGTGACAATTAGATATCCTATCAAAGTGAATTGTGAAGAACACGCCGCGTGCAAGCATTTACTGTAAATAAAAATTTTAACGGAGTGTTAACTAAACCGTTTGAATTGACTGTTGCGCGTTAACTGGCCAAACGGAGTAGGCTGACTGGGCAAGTTGGCGTAAGAAAAATTTGTTCACTTTTTGTTTTAGAGGCAAAAATTTTTTTTAAATGGAAATAAATCTTGTGCGTATTGATAAACACTCGTACATATGTATGTATGTATGTGCACGAAGAATAGCGCGACAATAATAATCGTTTAGACTGCATGCCGTTTGGTTTCGCGTCGCCGCCGCCGCCGCCGCCGCCGCCGCCGCCGCCCAACAAATTGCCATGATGAACTGTTAATTGTCAGCTTAGCTTGGTCATTACGCGCGCCCACATTTTGGTCGCTTTGTACGCTATTTTTTTTGTCTATGTACATACGCATATACATACATACATACAAAACTATACGAGTACAAATTGAATGTTCAAACAAATTGATTTTTCACCTTTTGTTATTTGTTTACCTTTCAGTTGGGCAATTTTTGGTTGTGTATGTATGTGTATGTGTACAAATTAGAGTGTTCCGTTGATGAGACGAAATAGAATATTACCCAAGAAATGTTGCTTGAAATCGCTATTATTCTTTATTGATAGAGACAGTGCCCTACTACACTTAACAACAGCATCCATTCGTTTCTTCTCTTAGTACCTTGGCGGCGATTGGACACACCGAGGGAAGCCAGTTCTGTCTTCATCTGATCTTTTCGATGCAGTGAGATCCTCCTTTTCCACTACTTCCACCGGTGTTTACTGCATCGAGAACTTTCAATGTGTTTTCACCCCTACGAACCCTATCTCTGAATTGGCTGAATGTCGCCGTCGCTCATACGTACAGGACCATGAAACATTCTTAGAAACTTTGCCTCGAAAACTCTTTGAGTCGACTGATCAGTTGTCGCTACTGCACCGCATAGCAGGATTTGATTTTTGTGCGTAGAAAAAAGACTTTACTTTGATTGATTAACAACACGGTATAAAGTACTCGTATTATCTATGGGCAAGTGTGATTCTGCCGCGGCCGCGGTAGCCGAGTGGTTAACATTGCGTACTGCCATTCGGAAGGCTCGGGTTCAAATACCCGTGCGACCAACACCCAAAAGTTATAGGAAATTTATTTAAACAAAAAATTAAGCGAAGTTTTCTAATTGTGATCGCCCCTGAGTCGGAAATGTCAGCCCCTCCGAGTGTATTTCTGACAGGAAATAAAGCTTCTCATAAAGAAGCCATCAGCCGTTCGGACTGTAGGTCCCTCCAATTATTGGAGAAACATCAAGATGTAAAACCACAAATTGGAGGAGGAGCTCGGCCGAGAAATCACTTCAGCGGTTACAAAGTGCCGATTATATATAAGTGTGATTCTGCTATACCCAGTTTCCAGGCTTGCATTCTCGTCGCCCATTCTGGAAACCTAAGCAAGTCTTAAGCGAGCTCAGGTGGAACCCTAGGTCAAGGCTAAAAGAGAGGAGCCACTTACTATAATTTGGTTTAAGGACTCACTGAAGTCCAATTTCAGCGTTTGTACACTGAAGGTAGGGCTGTGAACGGATGTGGTTTTTTGGATAAACGGTACGCTAAATAAATGTGTTTTAAATCTCTCAAACTCGTAAGCTGGATTCGGGACGCGCCAAGTAGAAAAATTAGATGCTTTAAAGAGTCTGACCAACACCGTAAACATACAAAAGTTTATTTGGTACCGGTTGATCTCCTCGATGAAATTAAGGCTATTATAAGCATCGTATAAGAGATATGATGGATAGGTACGGAAACGAACTGGATTCTGTGACATATACTACGGCGGCTATGTATGTGAATTCGGTATTATATTTATGGTTAGAAACTGACTGCGTTGTAGAGTTTTATTGTTCACCCTGATTGACGAGCGTCTTAGCCACAATCCATATTTGATGTTTTTAAGTAGTTATTTTAGATACAATAGTGGGAACATCCTCGATGATGAAGCGAATGGGTTGAGGCTGGTCGTCTTCGCCAGAGCTAGAGATATGGTCATCTGCAGTACTGAATTGCGATATAAGATAGTTTATCAAGCTACATGAATATGGCTTCGGATCGAAGAACTCGTAACCAAATCGAAGGGCTGCGAAAGATCATTCTGAAACCTAGAAGGTTTATGGTGTTTTTGCATGACACGTCCGAAGCTCTTTTCCGTGCTGTCGAAGGCGATTAAAATCGATGAGGTAGTGCATATCTGCTCAATGGTGATTTAGCCAGATCTAGGCACACACATTTAAGCCGTAAAATCATTATTCAAATTTGTCGGGTAATGGTATATCTCTTCCATCATCATTGCACTGCCATTTTTGCAGGCTAAAAAAGTGCTCTCTACCTTAACCCAAGTCACCAGATCACCTTCTTCCCGCTGTTGGAGGGGTTTGCTTGCATTGCCCATGTCGAGTAGCTCTTCATAACCACGCTTTTCGATTACTTTACTTTTTTGTTTGCAAATACGTTTTGCTTACCTCTTTAGCTCTCGACTTGCAACCCACACCGAATGCATAGTGAGAGATGACGGTCCAGTTTTCCACATTTTCTTATATCGAATGGTGTTGAGAGGCCTCAGAGAGCAGGTGTGTAAGTCTGTATGGAAGCGCAGTTCGCTGGCTCTCTGCAGTTGTTTCAGCTATTCGATGTCGAACTTTCCTTATGTTTTAGACAGTCGAATTTTAGGTCCCCGGAACGTAAGAAAGTCAAGAGTACTGAAGACTTGTCTTCCATTTTCAGTTACGCTAAAAAAATTGGAAAATTTTCAGATAACCCTAGTACGCTTCGAGGTTATTTGCGGTTATGTTAATGCTTCTTGTCAATATTTCTCAGCATATCTTCTTCTGAAACGAGGTTTTTAGCTCAAAAGTGTCAAAATTGAACGTAACAAAATAAATGCCACTCGCTGTTGTGGGAAGTGTTTGTTTTGCTAAGGCTTGTGTATACATACTTATATATGCATATACATATATTTATATATTTTTCATTCATGAGCCAGAAATTCGAGAGAGTGCTTCATTTGACCGTCAAGTCTTGGCTGCAGCGTACCAAGTGCACGCTCAAATGCTTTTGAAAAGCGCAATAAACCAAATAAGCATTTGTATGTACGTATGTATGCACATTTGGTCGTCCATTCGGCACTATATTTGTCATAATTCATACGTGCATATTCTAATTGCTAATTACTCACGTATTCACACGCTAATAGAGTGTTTTGTATGCGGAAGGTTTTTTGGTGTATTTTGGCGTCACCTCGCACGAGATGACAATTATTGAGGAATGCGTGCTCCATACGTACGTACGTATTAGCATTTACATAAGTATATATACATATGGATATATGCATTTGAGTGTTTGTGATAAAGTCGTACATATTTTTCATCAGTTCATATTCCTACAGTTGCTTCCATATGAAGGAAGCAATTAAATAAAATTAAAAATCTTTCATCCGAATAAATTATTTTAATTTTAATCTCTCTCTATATAATGTTTTTTCCAATAAAAAGTGCGAGTTGAATGTCAGTCCGTTGGATTTCACTTTTGAAGTTGTAATTTTTTGACATTTGGCAAGTAAAAACTACGTCCGTAATAAAAATGGAACGATACGCGCTTCAAAAACGCATTGAAATTATTAAAATTCACAATAAAAAATTTATCGATAAATCATCTTGGTAGATCAGGCTCATTTCCACCACGATGGATCCGTCAATACCCAAGATTTATTGTTGAAAAGCCTTTCCATCCTCAACCTGTTACTGTTCGGTGACGCTTACGATACGGCGAAGCAACAGTTACGGTGCATGAATTGCACTATCGAGAGATGATTAACGATTTTTACGACCGGAATCAAATAGTATTGATCTAGACAACGTTTACTCTCAACAAGACGACGCTATGTACCACATAAGCAACAAAACCATCTATCTTTTATGGGAACAGTTTCCAGCCCGTGAAATCTCTCGAAGAGATGATTTAACACCTTGTGACTTCTTCCTTTAGGGCCAACAGACCAATGTCGATTCAAGATCTCAAAGATGGAGTTCAAGAAGCAATTGAGCCAGCAATTTTGTGATTTGGTGAAGAAAATTTCATAAAAAGGATATTGTCCGAACGGCTGATGGTTTTTTTTATGAGAAATCTTAATTTCGTATCAGATATACACTCGGATCCGTTGACATTCTCTGCCGAGGAGCGACCGCGATTAGAAAATTTACAACCAGGACTTGAGCCCGATACTTTCGAATGACAGTACGCAATGCTAACCATTCTGACACCCCGGCCGTTGACTTAATATTTTGATTTTGAGAATGTTTATTTGGTAGATTTTATCGTTTTTTTTTTATATGACGTAGAAACCTAAAATGTCTACATGAAAAAGTATTTAACTAGTATAAAACTGGTTGGTTATTTGACAGTTTGTGCTAAAAATACCAGTTACTTCCAAGGGGAAATAGTTCGAAGATGAACCAGTTGCTGTCATAATGAAAACTTGTTGGCTTCAAGTTAACAATTAGTAATTTTCCCTGCAGCGCACTGTACGGCATTAATCAATCCACTACCGCTTTAAGAAAGATACGCATGCATTTAAATAAAATGAATTCAATTCGTTCTTATCGTAATTCACCGGAATTCGTTGTTTCAGTTAGTTAGGGAATAAGCTTTTGTCGCTTTCGCTCTGCTTTTCAATTGAGCTGTTGCAGGCTTTTTCCTTAACCATGCACGGTTGCTGTTACTGGCATTACCAAATTGCATGTGAAACAAACTCATCACTACAATTGCAACAACAACAATATTTGGTTGGGTGGAACAAGTGAATTCAGCAGAATCCATTACTCGATTTTATCAAAGTTTTTGCATCAAATTAATGTTGGAACGAAAGGGCGAAGAAGAGAACAAACGCTTGCATGAAAGAGTTTGGCTGGGGCAAATGGATTCTGCGGTATCGAAGTGTAACATGCAGTAACACGAAACGGATGCACAGATAGATTTTTGAGCGAAAATGGAATTTTTATTTGACAAGCATTCCTCTGCTGACGAGAGCTGTGAGGCCAAACTTACTTACACAAATTACAT